ATGAAAATGTGCCTCGGTATTCCTACTCCGCAGCCCAAGGCAAGCGAGCAGGTTTACTTGAAAATCATGGTCTTTGCAAGAGCTCCAAAGCACCCATCTCCCCTTTGGACATTACCTTGTTCCGTTGCTGGGCGAGCGATTAATCCCCAAATCAACGAGCAGAGAATCAATGTTTGTCCTGGACGATTACGGTGGGAACAACCCTTCCCGGCTGACCTCTGCCGACTTACTCCGGAGTCTGCAAATCCGTGCCAGCGCCTTGCTGCAGGAATTCCGCTTATATCAGGCTCAACTCAAAGCACGGGGCAAACAACAAGAAGTTGAAGTCAGAGGATTTAAACGAGGTCTCGAGTCGGAGGTAAAACTCTTGGAAAAATTAGGACGTGAATTTGCAACTTCCCATAGCACCTCCCAGAATATTGTCGCCGCCGCAAGTCAGCAAGATGAGGAAGATCCACAATTGCACGCGCTAAGAAGCTCTAACCTGCCCTTTTATGAAGCGGTCTGGGATACGGCAAAGTCGTGCCGCCATGTTACCGCATTGGGCAAGAAAATGTACTTTGCAGGAAAGGACTGCATGGCGAGCAGAACAAATCGCGACGAGAGATCGGTAAGCCGAACAGATGTTTCGAAGGATGTGCAAAAGAAAGAGACCTTGGTAGACATCGTTGCTGACAACGGATTGCAATGGATCAAAATCTCGACTTTGACGGAGAAACGGCTTCTGTTCGAAATGGCCAAGGAAGGCTGGGAAAAGTACGGAGACTTTGGCGAAGACAGCAATACAGAAGGCGGCCAGGTTCCAGAAACTGACCGTGGTGGCATGAGGACGAGTAAGCTCGAACTTTTGCGACTTGCTGAAGACCTCAAAATTTCAGCCCAAGGAGTCAGAGTCCAATTTCGGCATCCACAGATTCAGCTTGTCCTACCAAAGATTCGGGAAGGTATCTCCCCCAACGTGGATGCTTTCCTTGCCGACTTGCGCGCAACTGGCGCCATCGTTCAATGCAACACCGATATGTACAAACCCAGTGAGGGTCGGCAGCTTGATCTCGACAGCCTGATGCCCACCGTCGCGACTGTTCCTTTGACCAGCACCATCAATGTGGATTGCACGATACTTCTGGCACTGATCTCTGACATATCAAATTTCCCACGCCATCAATTGTTGTCAAACTTTGCGGGCAAATCTGAGACCTATCACAAAGCGATTGTGAAGCAAATCGAGGCTGAAGAATCATCACCGATGCTATCTGAGAGAATCTATCCTCTTCTGGCTACGCGGAATCTAGAGTGTACTCTACATGCTTCTCAGCGGATGCGAGAGATAGTTCACTGCATGGGGACGCCGAGTGAGTTAAGCCGCGCCGAAATCCTGCTGGGCGAAGGGCCCTACAGAGATCAACCTGCCTCGACCCTGAGGCAGGCCTTTAGCAAACTATCAATGCACGTCGTCCCTACGGAGGTACTCTTCCCTGTCAAAGTTGTCAACTTCGATGCGAACATGCTCTTTGGCTCAGATCCTACCTCGGCGACGCTGAATGCTGAATCATGCAAGCCATTTCCTACCTCCATAGCTGGCCGTACAAGGGACAGATTAAGACTTACCCCTATCAACGCTTCAGTCTTCTTCTATGGTTGGGCCCGCCATATTGTAACACTAACAAGCAATCGCACAGTGGCAAGCAAGCTTTTGAAGACCATCAATGACATCCTGGATTGCGACGAGAGCCAAGCGCGTAAGGAGGATGCTGAATTCCTGGGGCCGCTCATATGGTGTGAGACTGCAAGAAGCCTGATAGGGAAGACCAAGTTCAAGGAGTAACCGTCAGCAAGCAAGGAAGGTGGACAATTATGAGGCAGCTTAGCCCCTCGAAGGCACCACAGACTCGAAGCATTCCCAATCAGGCCCTGATCTGGCTTGCCACCTTTTGAAAGCTTGGGCTCTGGACTCATTCCATAGATCCATTTCAAGGCAGAGATCAGGAATTGTAGTAAAGACTGGTGCGCGAATGTCAAGCAGAGCTTGCGGGTCTTCATGATATACATAAGCCATTGCTATCCTTGGAACTTCTCTGTGTCGTAGATTGGTTTTGACTCGATGGATGGTTGATGAAGCAGGCTGCGCTGTGGCCGAGCCTAAAATGTCTCCGATAATAATACGTGACCTCGCATGTTGTACATCTCCCGTTCACAACATCGCGAACCGGCGTAACTTTCCTTCTAACAGCACGGAATGCCTTTCCCTTCCTCCTGACATGCGCCTCGACTAAAGCACTTCGGACCGCCTAGTCGAGAGTGTTCTGCATTTACTTTTGTCGTTGAACTCTTTGCATCTGTGTAACAGTTCTGCCAACACCATGCGCCGATGGGTGCCTTCACTCGGCCTCCTGGCATACCTTGCAGCAATTGTCGCCGGGAATGAAGTTCAGATTGTGAGAATTGGAGACGGCCATGTTGTCAGTGTTCTCTTCGCTGACCATCACTAGAAACAAGATGACGAACATCGCCAGCGGTGCTCAGGGATGTACAGTCGGAAATCTTGGGGTGGTTCAATCGATCCTTTCATCCTTGTCAAGTTCCTTCCGGACCACACCGAAGACGATTCAGACCCGATCGCAAGCCTCATAATATTCGAATGGCAAGATGAGCCTTTGATAGGCAGGATGCCACCGGGCGGTGAATTCAACCGAGATCTTGAGACAATATGCACCGCCGACGCCGTGGCACAAGGTTTATGTGAAGAGAAGGATATTGGTGCTTTCATACTGGCTCCTAATGCCACAGAGGCCTCGAGAAACCCGATATCCAACGAAGCAATCCATTTGAAAGACCCCAAGGCCATCAACTACCCGATCCGTCGAACGGGGTACTATTGCGTCTCGACGTACGCGTTCTCAGATCACGAGTATAATGGCGTGGTGGAGTTCCGCAACGCATACGGTGAGCTGCCGGCGGCTCAAATAGCAAAACTCCCATTCTACGGCGGCCTCACTATTGTCTACGCGGTGCTGGGTGTGTTCTGGGCTTTCCTCTACTTCCAGAACCGTTCCGATATCCTCCCGGTGCAAAACTACATCACTGCCATCATCATATTCCTCATCGTCGAACAGCTCATGACGTGGGGATTCTACGACTATCAAAACAGTCACGGCAACAATGCTCTCAACAAAGTCTTCATGATCATCGTCTCCATCCTCAACGCAGGGCGAAACTCCTTCTCTTTCTTCCTCCTCCTGATCGTCTGCATGGGCTATGGGGTGGTGAAGCCCTCCTTGGGCAGGACAATGATCTACGTCCGCATCCTGGCCGCCGCACACTTCGTCTTCGGGGTCATCTATGCCATCGCCTCTATGGCCGTTACCCCCGAATCTGTCGGTCCCTTAATTCTCTTCGTCATCCTGCCTCTCGCCGGGACCATGACAGCTTTCTATGTGTGGACATTATCCTCCCTCAACGTCACGATAAAAGATCTCATCGACCGCAAACAAAAAACCAAGGCGATGATGTACAAGAAATTATCTTGGTGCATTCTGGGGAGTGTACTGGTTATCTTTGCCTTTTTCTTCATCAATAGCTTCGCGTTGGCCGGGTCGGGAGCCGCGAACTTTGTGCCGGAGCACTGGCAGACAAGATGGTTTGTGCTGGATGGATGGCTGAATATCGTGTATTTATTCAACATCGCGTTTATTGCCTATCTGTGGAGGCCGACAGCGAATAACCGACGATTTGCGATGAGTGACGAGGTGAGTTATCCCATACTTTTTCTCTCTCTACACGGGCTCCCCGTGAAAGATCATGGTTCGACTAAGACGTTTTCTACTTTCTAGCTCGCCCAAGATGACGACGGTTTCGAGATCCGCAGCATCGCTGACTCGATCGAGGATGACGACGAGGAAGCTGCCAACGCGCGAAAAGACCAAGAAAGAGCAGTCCCTCCTTCCGCAAGCGGAGGCGGAGCGGCGAGCGCCCTCACTGACGCAGTCGCCAACGAACCATCTTCAGCGAGGAGGCCTTCCCCGGCACCTGCGCTTCAGAATAGCAGCCAGGCACCGCCGCCTTCCAAGCCGCCCAATCAGCCCCAACCGAGGATGTCGTTGGATGGGGAGACCATCTTTGCGGTTGGTGATGACGGGATTGAATGGAGCGATGGGGAAGATGAAGACAGTGGCGATGAGAGGAAGAAACTGACCAGTAGATGAGGGAACGTCGCTTCCGTAAATCCTAAACATTGGGGCTGCTAATGGATTGAAGCACCTTGAATTCTTCGGACGCTTGGATGCTTGGAGCTTCGGAAAACTTCGACTCTTTTTCACTTTGGGTGCTTTGGCAGGGGCCTGGAACCCCGGGATCACGCTTATCGATGAACACCGGTACAAGTCGGCGGAGGGCTGAGCCAAAATTGATCAATCAGGGTGGTTTTGCACATTGAAGCAATTTTTATACGATAATTCTCTGGCGCCAGGCAATCTTCCTGGTCCAGTTCAGGATCAAAGAACGAGAACTGGAAAGCGACTGTCCCATGCCGATGGATTAAATTACACGCAACGTGAACTAGTCATGGCCTCGACTCTCATCAGGCTCCCTCCCGGAGGTACGCTTTGGTTGTCAGAAGCGAACCAGCTGGTCCCTGTATCGCACATCCCTCGGAGAAAGCAGCGGGCCGAGGAAGGGGGAAAAGGAAAGGCGTCTCCCTGAAAGGGGAATCCGATACGTACTTCGAGCCATGGCATTGAATCCGCGAAAGTCTTGTGCAATTTCTATACCCTATTTGTTATTAGGAGGAGGTCGTCGAACATAAGTAGGTAGCATGGCCGTTTCTTCGCAGAGGGTGATCTGGTTGTTCGGGATCGACAAAAAGAGGTATTCCTGCTCTCTTCGTGCCATGAAGTATATTATTCTCCTTTGACATCAACCACCCAGCTTTTTCGCGCGGTCCTTGGCGATGTCGCACATGGCCTTTTGGCAGGAAGATGAGCACGGGTCAGCCAATTTTGACTTCACTGGGGTTGCGCAAGTCCAGCAGAAGATGTACTGCCTACCTGAATTCCCTCTTGCTTTTCCAGCTGGATATCTCCACGGTCTATCCGCCTCTGCATGTCTTCCATGATGATAGGACGACTCCGTCCGTTCACGAAGACCCTGTTGTAGTCTCATCAATAATCACGAAAGCCATTGGACACGGAGGATGCATGAGGAAACTCGAGACAGCCGCATTAAGAGGAAGCGGGATGCCATACACGTATTTTAGGCCCGGAAACCTGTCTTCGTATTTCCTGTTCATGTCTGCCAGCTTCTCTGCCTCGTCCGCTCCACCTTGATTCAATTGCGCCTGCTCCTTACGGCTCTGCTCACTTTCGACCTTTTTCTCACCTAGACGCGGATGAGCGGACAATATGGCTTCCAGCCACTTTTGATCGCTCTCTAAGTTCGACCGGTGGAGTTCTAGCAACTGCTCGCCCACGGCCTCAATGAGTGACTCGTAGGATGGGAATGGCTGTTCCCGCAATAAGCTGACGGACAATGTGTGCAGTTGAGAACATGGCTCGAAGAGAGTGTCGAGAACTTGTGCCCTTTGTTCGGCATCCAGTGTGGGTAGAGTTGAGGTTGGTGGAAGAGACGCCATGACAGGAATTGTCTTTTTGTCTTAGTGGACTGCGTGACCTTAAAGACTCGGCTGAAGAAGAAATACTCCGTAGAGGGCTGCCCTGTGGAGGATTATATGAGAATCAAATAAGGCACGTCATTTGCAGTAACTCATTTACTTAGAGAGGTCGTCGGCGTTCGCCGAACATCTCAATGGCTTCACGTGGTTTGGCGTTGAATTCGCGAAGAGGCTGGAATGATTTGCCATTTCGCTAATACGTGTAGGTCAAGCCGCAATAATTCGCAATAGTAATCGGCGGCCTGCCACCTGTGCCCCAACCTTCTCATTGCCCCATGAGACGATTCCTTCAATGAGCGGCCACGTGAATGGACGGTGTCTCAATAGTCCGCAGAGATGGAGGGGCGGACTGGGACGGTTCATTCTGGGGAATTAGAAATTTCTTGCAGCAACATCAAGCCACTCAATAGCCATTGTGACCGTTGGGTGGTCGTACAGAGGATCCCGAGCACGGAATAAAGAAGTCCTCCTTCGAGGTCGCCCACACTGGGTATTGCCTGACAAGGAAGGAAAACGGGGAACATCATGCTCGATGCACCCGCAACGTGGGAAAAGTTTGAGCTCGATCCCGCTTTGACATTGACGGAGGGTACCCAGTACGGTTCCCCAGACTGTTTCAGATACCCAGTAAGAGTACTCGCTGAGACGAAATCCCCAACTTGTTGTGCAGTCTTCGTGCAAGCCATCATTCTGGTCTCTTCTGCTCCGGAGTTCAAGATCGGCTCTACTGGGTATACCTGCCGCAGTCGAGATTTGAGGCAGAGGGATCGAATCGACGACAATTCGCAATCGTGATCATCCGCCTCCAGGGCTTCGAGTCTCCGACAGACTTTCGCTTGTTTTACGTAGGAGGAGGAAATTCAAGCATCCAGAAAAGGCATAGCGTCGGTCTCGCTTGCTTCTAGCCGCAGGGTCAGCGGCAGGGTGTTGGGAAATTGGCTCGTGGGAACTGGTGACATGGGCGAATAACGCTTGAGCGTTGACCGTCTGGTCGAGAGTTTCAGCGTCAAGGCCAGCCCCACCATCTCGCAGAAACGGGGCGCGCCAGGCTTAACCAGGGCACATCGGCCATGCACTGTCGGCGGGCTACCCTGGTTGTGGCTCCAACTTGGCCCGTTGCAGACCCCCCTGAACTGTAAGTAGCTGTAGATAGCATTCCGCGCCGTACTCCATCCGTAGAATGTCCTGCATCCTGCATGTGGCCCTGGGCTTCCCCTCGAAGCTGCATCTCCAATTTGAGAGGACTATGGTTGCTTGCTGGCAGCTGGCGTTGGGTCCATTGAATTTGGGAGGTTGCCCTGATCGCCTCAAGCCTTGCTCTTCTACTCTCCCGTACCTTGTAAAGCCTTCCGCCCATCTCTGAACTGTATGAGATCGGATTCTGAACCCATTGAGCAGGCCTGTGCCTTCCCAATGAGGGCTGAGAAATGTCATTGAATGGACTTGATGGAGCTGCAGTCGCCGAAGCACACCAAGCTGCTCAGGCGGACGCAGGAGGATGGTATGTCGCGCAATTACTTTGCCGCTGTGCTGCCTTGTGGTTCTGCGCAATCAGTCCTCTGTGACGCCTGCTTACATGGACCAGGTTCTTACTGAGATACACCAACCGCGACACGGTTGAATTGCTGAGCAAGGGGACAGGAGGTGTACCGGCGGTGCGTGGAGTCATTGAGAAATATGCAGAGAAATCGCCTCTGTACGGGTTGGTGCAGTACCGGCGCAAGAAAGTCGTCCTCAAATATGTGCCCGAGGGAACATCTCGATTGCTGCAAGGTGGGTGAGACGCGTTCGACTTGAAGGGATTCTGTCACTGACCTGCTTCACCCGCTATAGTGCGGCTTACCGTGCAATTTCAATCGGTCCTGGAAACCTTCACGCCACATGACACCGTCTTCTCCTTTGCTGCCGCCTCCGAGTTGACAGAGTCCGCGCTCGGCCTGTGTACCATGCTGCTACCCTCTGCATCGTCGCTTACCTCATCCAGCTCTTCTCTGCGACGGCGGAGACTCAACGAGATTACTGAAGATGCCGAAGACGCCGTGTTGCCAACAGAGGAGGACAAGGAGAAGGAAAAGGAGAATAAAGGCCTTGGTCTTTTCGCAGCGCAGACGCTGGAGGAGCCGTCAACGCTGACATCGACCTCGGATACGGCTTATGGAAGGCATGAACTCGATGAACTGCCGGCAAGCGCAGTCCTTGCAAAAGCTCTTTTGGCAAAGAGGAAGGAGGAAGCCGCCGCCGTCAATGACGACGCCGGTGCCCTGTCTTTACCGGACAAGACCATCCACCCTCCTCGCAAAGAGAGCCTTCTCTCATCCCCCAAACCACCGGCCTCGCCGTTACCATCACCACTATCGCCGTCCATCGTAGACAAAGAGCTCCCAGCAACCCCCGAACCGACGCCACCCTCTACGAGCGAAGGCGAAGGGCCAAGAGCTCCAGATTTCGAAGCCACCAGCAACATCCTTCTCGAGACCACTACGGCAACAGCAGACGCCTCCAATCCAGCTACTCCTCGCCCTCACGCTCGTCATCTCTCAGCAGCCGAGTCGGACAGTATCAGCCAGTGGAGCAGTAACGTCGCTTCGTATACGACGGTCAAACCAAAGAAAAAGAAGCTGGGACCGCGCCCTCATGTTGAGCCAAGTCATCGTCCTAAGACATCCGGAACGACAGACAGCGGTACAGGTATACGGCCAGTGGCAAACCTTCCAACCTCTATTCGGGTGAACAACAAGTCTCTAGTCAGCCTTGGGCTTCGGCCTGGCTCCCAACAGTCAAGTCGGAGCGTCCCTGCTGGCCGTTTTGTACCGTCGACTCAGTCCGTCAATGGTGCGCCGCCCCTGCCGTCGCCATCTTACCTGCACGCTCCCTATAATGCGGGAGATAGCCGCTCTGCAATCCTCCGACCAGCTTCTGTGACTGGCGATGTCTCTGCGACGACTCCGGAAAAGCTAAGATTAATGAAGGCCTTGCAGCTACGGAAAAGGAATATGCTTCTCGCTCAAAGGGCAGCCACGGCTGTATCATCAACCCCTTCAAATACATATATGCACAATGTCTCGGACTCGAGTGTGAACCCGAACGGCTCGAGTACTCGTCTATCATCTATCCCGAGTCAGGAGCAGCTCTCAAACGTCGAAGAGGAGTCAAAGTTAACTCAGTCATCTTATACAACTTCGCCAACCATCATGACAAACATGTCAGAAGAGCCTTCAACAAAAGCCTCTTCCATCAGCGAACACGATGATTGTTCCCGCACCCGTCGCTCTTTGTCCTCAGCCACAAGCTCGTCGCTTACGCCGAAAGCCCTTTCCCAGGAAGACAAAGCCGCGGCCAAGTCTGACGCGGCTCCAATTGGAGTAGGACCATCGACCAGTTCGGGCCGGACTACTCCAGATGAGGAGGACAAACGGGAGTCCGGGGCCGACGTCAAGGCAGCACTTGCCTACCTGGAAGCTGCACCAGTCATCACAGGGGAGAGCCTGGTCTTGGAGAGCAAACCTCAACCAACCTCGGGGACTGAGCAACGGCCTTCTATTTCAGCCCTGACACAGGATGCCGTGCCACTTCAGAAATCGGGACATTTGGGACCCCCACAGCCCCTCAAGCTTCTATCAGGCGGCAATGCGTCAGCCTCAGATCTCTCAGAAGATGATTCTTTGATGGACGAAATACAGCACGCTACAGTCCACGAGGCTAAGCCAGTCTCTGTGGCACGTTCGCCCGTAACTCCAATCATGTCCAAGGGAAGTTCCGATCGTTTACGCGAGATTGTTACCAAACCGCCAGGCAGTAGCCACTCAACAAGCAGACCAAATCTTGTAACAACGCCCGATAGAAACAGACCCAGCAGTGGTAGCGTACGAAGCATTTCAACAGCGCTTCCACAGTGGCCGCCATTGCCAACAGAGTCTGCTCAGCTGCCTCTTACTAAAAAGGCTACACTCGGAACAGGCATCTCAAAACGCATAAAGGCCTTGGAAGTGCTAAGGACGAAAGATGCAAGCCCTCCACGACACTCACAGCCAATACGAGAGACACATGCTGGGACCTCCGCCTTTTCGGCATTCATGAAGCGTTCATCATTCCTCTTGAATCAGCAACAAGCCCCGAATGCATCAACGGAAAATTCACCCCCAAAACAAATGCCTACAACAGGACCCCAATATGATCCACTTCAATCACTCGCGGCAAAGGAACCGCGACGTCCCTCGTCGGATGTGCACAGACTGCAGAAAGGCGAGACCATCTCTGTTACAGCAAGGATTGTGCGTGATCCCAGCAGCAAACATCCTCCCCTGGCCCCCAGTTCTAGCTATCATACTCCTCTCAATCTCTACCGGAGTCCCTTGATCGTTGAGCATGAGAGGTCCGACCAGTCGACCTCTGACCACGCGCTGGCTTCGAATCAACCGAGGGTTAAAAGCCCTACAAAATCGGAAAGGGGCCGATTTTCCTTCTCCTCACATCGATCTGGCTCCCATACAAACCTCCCTCGATCGGAGTCAAACCATAGCAAAGTTTCCAAATCAGGCCATCACAAACGACATGGCCCGCGATCAGCCAGTGACGCCGCATCCATTTCCGAGGACAAACCGAAATCTTCGATGACAAGTAGACTAATGAAGCGAATGTCGAATCTAGCGAACGCGCGGAACAAAAATCAACCGACGACGAAAGACGAGGCTCATCAGTCCCCGGCGAACATGACGCAAGAACAACCCGACCTAACCAGGGAGAATTCGGTAGCAGAGTCATTAATGCATGTTGTCGACATTGGGGATGTCAACGTACAATTCCCCGAGTCATTTCTGTGGAAACGGCGCTTCATGAGAATCGATGATCAAGGGTTTCTGATTTTTTCCCCGCCAATGACTGACGCGAATATGAAGAGCGTCAGTCGCAAGTACCACCTCAGTGACTTCAAGCGGCCTTGTCTACCAGATCTTGAACGCGAAGAGATGGCGTGGAGTATTCTTCTTGATCTGAAGGATGGGACGTGTGTGCAGTGTGCATGCGAGAGTAAACAGGCTCAGCAACAAGTACTACAGAGTAAGTGCTAGGTACCTTGCAGCACTTTGTGGTCTCATTACTGACTCTCCCCTGCAGTGCTTGTTGATGCCCACAGCGCATATCATCAGCTATATGGAGCTGGATGAGGAGAAACAGAAGGACCCAGTCCAAGAGGGCGACCAGCAGTCACGACCACCGATCAATTGTTTTGCATAGTTGTTGATGTTTGAACGGCATGCAACAAGCGAAGGCGAGGGACGGGCGTTGGGATGCTGTGGAGAGTGACTTTCTCCCATTCTCTTGATTTCAAGTCCCGCATGCTAGGAGGCAGTACAATCTACATACCCGCTTAAATTAATGTCTGTATCAGGAGAGATGCTGCCTCTCGAACGAGGCTTGCCGTTTAGAGGTGTGAAAGATTTTGTCACTACCTTTAAGTGTAGAGACGTCGGGCCATGAGAAACTTCTATCGAGAATATTTAAAATTACTAGGTAAACAACCTAGGTATCTGGTCTGTCAGGAGGTATTTCAGACCTGCTTGAGGGGAACAAGGCTCTGCCGCAAGGACAAGTGGCTTTTCAGCCTGGTGAACCTCGAATAAGGGGGCCCAGGCCGGGGCTGCTTGTCATGGATTTTTAAGCATTGCCAGTGAAATAAAGCGGCGCTGTACGTATATATTCCGCCGACGAGTTCAAGTATTCACCGTCCCTGCGTCTTCCTCCCTTGACCCCCTCTGCCTCACAATCTTGATTGTTTGCAGACGCCTCTTCGTCTGCGTTCGCACGAGTTTCTAATATTACGTCTTTCCATTTTGATACGGCGCCATCATGGTGCAACTTCGCGCCCTTCTCCCGCTGGCAACGCTCGCCCTGCCCCTCCTTACCGCCGCCTCAGATGTGCTCAATCTGATCCCCTCAAACTTTGACAAAGTCGTGTTTGAGTCAGGCAAGCCTGCCCTCGTCGAGTTCTTCGCCCCGTGGTGCGGCCACTGCAAGAATCTTGCTCCCGTCTACGAGGAGCTTGCCACAGCCTTCGCCGCCTCCGGGAACAAGGTGACAATTGCAAATGTCGATGCGGACAAGCATAAGGACCTAGGCAAGAGATTCGGTGTCCAGGGATTCCCAACGTTGAAGTGGTTCGATGGGAAACCTGGCTCGGAACCAGAGGATTACAATGGTGGGAGGGATTTGGAGAGTTTGACCGCTTTCGTGACGGAGAAGTCTGGCGTTAAGGCTAAGGGGCCGAAGAAGGCACCGAGCCATGTAGAGATGTTGACAGACACAACATTCAAGTCCGAAATCGGTGGGGATAAGGATGTTTTGGTGGCTTTTACAGCACCTTGGTGTGGACGTATGTTTGCCCTCTGAGACCGCCGCCGTGTGGTATATGCTAATCTCTGGTCTACAGACTGCAAATCCCTTGCCCCGACATGGGAGAAGCTCGCCACCGATTTCGCCAATGAGCCCAACGTTCTAATTGCCAAGATCGACGCCGAAGCTGAGAACTCGAAAGCCACGGCACAAGCCCAAGGCATCACCGGCTACCCGACCATCAAGTTCTTCCCTAAGGGCTCTACCGAGCCAGAACCCTACAGTGGCGCACGCAGCGAAGAGGCCCTAGTAGACTTTGTCAATTCCAAAGCTGGCACCTACCGAGTTCCGGGTGGCGGGTTGAATTCCCAGGCTGGGACCGTCGAAATCATCGATACCCTGCTCGCCAAATACGTCACCGCCAACGGTCTCAAGGACATTGAGAAGGCCACGGCTGAGATCAAAAAGGCAGCAAAGGACTTGAAGGATTCGTCGGTCGACTACTATCTCAGAGCTCTGTCCAAGCTGACAGGGAACCCGGAGTACGCGATGAAAGAACAGACGAGACTGGCAGGTCTGTTGAAGAAGGGCGGATTGGCACCGGAGAAGATCGATGATCTGCAGAAGAGGAGCAATATCCTTTCGAAGTTCTTGGTCAAGGAGCCGGAGGAGAAGAGCGAGTTGTAGGCGACGACGAACGACCGAGTGGGCACTTGCGAAGCCAGGGGCAGATCGCGCAAAAACAAAAGGTCTGCAGGCAATGGATCTGTAAATTGACACATCATTAGAGGAGTTCAAAAGGCTTTTGTGGGTTTCCAGTCTCTATCCACGCATAGTTTCTTGTGTCGGTTGCACTCGTTGACGTCTTTCCTCTCACTCGGTACCTCAGCTGAGCTCGTCCGTATCTGGACTTGGATTCTCTCGTCTTCAATAGCTGAGCCTTATGCCGTCGCGGTTCGCACGCCGGCGGATGCTTCATATCTCAAACCTTCCCTTTCCATGCTCTACACGAGCCTCGAGATTCTGTCCCAGAGACGTCATCCTTCTCGCCGTATGCAGAGATATCCCATGGTTCACATTCTACTATCTTGATCTTCCTACAGCCCGCAGGACAAAGTAATCGTAGCCCACGTCAGCTCAGCTCGACCCGGCCGTGCTCCCGGCCTTGCCACCGCCGACATTCTCCATCGCACTCGCATCCCTCAACAACATCTCCTGCTCCAGCCGATCACACCGCTCTGCCATGTCATCCAGCTTCGTGAGTATCTCATCGCTTATCCCCTTGAACTTCTTCTCCAGGTCGCCCAGAAAGTCGTCGATCGCCTCGGCGAGCTTGGTCGCTGCGTCGTTCGGGCTGTGCAGATTGTCCAGGGCAGAGACCGACGAGGTAGTGGCGCCAACCGGGCCGTTTGATGCTGTAATGGTAGCGGAGTGGTAGGATTGCGAAGAGAGCGGCGGGCTTCCTGCGCCTCGCGGTGGCGGAGGACTAGGCACGGACTGGAAAGGGAGGTTTTTAGTTAGAGCATGCCCGTTGTCTTTGACATCACATTTCAGACGGGCCGGCGGGGTGTAACAGAGGACGGGTAGCCTGTCAATCGTGCACCCCCCCTCCGAGGAGCTTGAAGGCGTCCTGTGGCAATCGAACTTACCATTGCCGCACGACAACTTGTTTTCTCCTTTTGTGAATTGCGCAAAGGGGGAGCTGGCGTAGCAACAACCAATGGACTGCTTCCCACACCCAGACAGATCAGCATAAAAACTCAAGTCCCACAGGATACATGTTCTAAGACGCGCGGCGAAAGCTCTATAGCTTCCCAGCGCCACCTGACGAATGTTCGAATATCGAGTGCCTGCGAACTAATACGGAGTACGGAGTGAATGAGACTGGGAAATTAAGAATTGGCCCGAAGTTTACGCGGAGTCGGGAAATTGCCGTTTTGTAAAAATAAACACATGGCAAGGCTGCGCCGGCACCTATCCCGCTACAGTAAGGGTTCAATGAACAGAGGGAGATAATACGGATCCTGTGGGAGACATCATCTGGGATGAGGTGGTTGAAACAACGTGAGAATTACCAGGCATCGTACAGAGAAGTCAGCAAGCCAATTGTTGGAAAGGCGAATCACAGCTGGCGCCGGAAGCAAAGCAAAATGACTTCGCGGACGAAGACGAGACGGATGATGTGGCCGATCACAGCCAGAGACGAAAACCACGCCCGCCAGCCGATGACTCTGACGGGGACATGTACTCAGTACACATTGGCTTGAGACCCCGGTTGAGAGGAGCGCATATGAACGAGGGTAACACGGTGCTAGGCGAGGCCAAATCGAACGATACCCGCAGGGTTCACGCTGGAACTCAACATCCGCACACCACTATCCGTACTCACCAGTAGAGCCGGGAAGAATGCAGCCATCTGGAAGATATTTTCAGGGTGTTAGGAACGGCGAGGTTCAGCATCAAGAGGGCCTCTGTATGTTGAAACTGAAGCACTCTACCAGCCTGTTGCAGCTCAAAGCGGGGTTCTTCCAAGGATTCGACGCCCTCGTATTTCCAGCCTCGAGCATTCTGGACAAAGGTAAGTGTGGTCCGGGTCACCGTTCACACCGATTTCTCGCAGGCATTTCTCTCGTCTTACCTAGCTTGTCTCCTCCTCAGTCACCTATCGACGCTCGAACCTATCCTTGGCTGAGGGTTGACCTCGTATTATCCCGGCTCCCGGAGCTTGGCAGCTGGGTCAGACTGAAGTGGACTCAGCAGGCGGACATTGGGGTAGAGGCCCTGATGGTCACTGTTCTTTTTGCGCAAGCCACCATTGTCCCTTTCGTAAATCCGAGCTCTGTCTTTGGCCGCCACCAGCCTTTCAGCTTCTGCCCCAGAGAATGGTCTTCGTTTCCGCGCACGGCCTTCTATCAAGTTCATGACTGCTGAAGTGCTTTTCACAGAAATGGCTGACCTGTGTGCGCATGGACTCCTGCCAAGGTCCGGCCTGGAAAACCTTTTCCACCGTTTCGTGAAGTCCGTAGCTGCATCCGAATGAGACAGAACAAACAGGCGATGGCCACGTCATGGACAATGAGGAAGCTAGATTCCGAAATAAACTGACTTGCGAAGCTCGGCTAGCAACTGCAACAAAACATTTTGCTAATTGCCGACGGTCAACGCTCCCACAAAACACTTGGGTTTATATAATCACGGCCTGGCCTCGAGCAATGATCTGCTGAGCCTCCATTACCGTCGCCTTGAAGATACGGTCTCAGTCGAAGCCATCACCATGACCACTTACATCTGTTCTTCAACAACTTCTTCAGGGAAGAAGTCGGCGTAAATCCTGTAGTTCCAAGAGGGTAGTAAGAAGCCGTCCGTTATGTCCCAAGTGATAAAGCCAGGGATTAACAGACCCATCAATGGCAGCAATGTTATAGGTTGCCTCTTCGGAAGGCCGCCCTAGCTCAAAAACATCGCCCGTTCTTTCATGCTGTAGATTAGCTAATGATAGATCATAATGGGTTCCAGAATGTGACATATCCTCGGGCTCTCCAGGCGGTAACCTGAGCCTTTATTGGATGATTGATCCGAAGTGGGAGACAAAAGACCCGGACCCTGATACACACCGGATGGCCCGGCCACACGAGTCAAACCAAGCGTCGGACCGGCAAACACTTGGAAAATGGTGAACGTCGTGGCCTCTGACGACAAAGTAATCCATATCGTGGACGGCATCAAATACGCACGCATGCATGTTGTGCAAAGCAGCGGGCTCCTGAACCTGGGGTACATGAGAGCAAACTTGTCGGAGGGCGTCCAGGCTCATCATATAGGAGATGAAGGATGGAGAGTGGGTGAGTGACAGCGAGGTGGTTGACGAGGCTGCGCCAAGAATTTGCAATGACAGATTTACAATAAGGATGGTCCGCGTATTATTCAAAAGCGACTGCTTCATAATGCAAGTGAGGGCTGGTCGACTGCTAAGAAGCTACTAAGTCCCTGTTAGGAAGCCATTAAGCACTACTAAGAGTATTAAGGCTTCCAACTGTCGATAGTCTAATCTAGCCACAAACACATGCCAAACCGGTATGGCTACCTCAACAACAACACCACTCCACCACCACCTCACCAATATTAATGCGGGCAGAAGATACTGGTACTGGAAAAGCCCGCTCTCGCGCCCTCCAGCAGCTGGGAGCAAATGCAATTGCCATCGCATTTCGACCTTATGCATTGTGCCCTACATGATTGCCATGCGAAAGAAAGATCCAGCCGCATGGCCGAGTCCAGAACATCACTTAGCCCCGTGCCGGGCGCGAACATGAAGAACCACTGATCATGATATGACTGGCCAGCCTAATAGCTGCTTCTGTAACCTGGGAAGGGCAGTCGCTTTTGCTCCCACACAAATGCTCGCTAAGAGCGGGTGCTGCTCTACTTTTGGGCTAGACTGGGCCATTTCCGAAGCTGAAATGCAGCTTTACGCCAGCCACAAAACCCTTTGGGACGTTATCCACTGCTGGCCTACTGACCGACAAACACGTCTCCAATGTCTGGATGGCTTCGCCCTCCTTCACGAATTGCCCCGTTCTTGATTCTCTATCGTTGCGCTGCTTCCGTCAGCTGCATGCGCCGTTCATGGACTGTGTGTCGTATGGATTTTGCGCAATCGCTCAGTTGCCTTTTGCGCAACTGGTGCATGACTTCAGAAAGGCTGTCGAAAGTGAACGACTCAAATACCCTCAGCTCACTTCTTGCTTTGCGCCTTCCTTTTGACTTTGCTGTTCATCGGTTTGTGTTCGGTAGGTCTTTCTTGAAGTTCCAGAGATTGATCGCGCAGCACAATGGCACCGTCCGCGGTACAGCCTGACTCGCCTACAAAGATTCCTCTCCTGTCTGAAAAGGATCTAGAGACACCAGCTACGCAGACCAGCCAAGATAGCCCTCCGCCTACTCCCACTTCCCACCATGCGATCAAAGACAACATGGAGGGCGCCCTGCCCTCGTTGCTCTGGGGAGCATTTGCGCCTTGCGTCCCAGTTGCCATTATCTCCAGCGTGCTTTTGACTGCCATTCTATACAATCGAATTGACAGTAGCTACGTCTTTCTTCCTGCGAAGCACGACACAACCTCGAATGACACAATAGGCGCTCTCCAGAATATCGAGCAGATCGAAATCAATGGCGGTGACCAAGCTTACTATCTCTACTACAACACCATCACCAACCCAGCCGTGTTACACATGATCTCTTCGTGGACAGCCAAGATCATACCTTTTGTCACCGGAGCCTCGATGGCTCTTGTCGCCTTTTTCGCTGGCCAACGAATTATGAAAGCAACCAGCAACAAATCTGAAAAGCTCCCGAGTCCTCACCAGGTATCCATCTTGATTGGACTGCTCAATGGCGGTGGGACTCAACCTCTGCTCGATACCGTCAAGTATCGCTGGCAAAATCACGAATCTCTGGTCCAACCAGTTCCTCTGGCCTTTTGGTGTTTGTCGTTCATTGTGTTCATGACGTAAGTCACTCTTCCTCTCCCGGTACCCGTGTTTCTTCATGTGCTGTGCTAACTTTGACGATTCAGCTTCGCTATCGGTGCAGTCGATAGCTGGTTCGGTACAGTTACCACCGCCATGAACATTGCATTGGTCGTGCCGAAGTCCAATACATCCTACTCCTATGGAAGAGGTTTAGATCCACATCAGTGTGCGCCAGGAGAGTGGAAGTTACGGGGTTGTCCATCCAACCCTCAAGCGAGCTGCAGTTACCCGTGCAGCATTACTAACTGGACTGCGACGAACGGAGAACGCGAAGGCGTGCTCAATGCGCAGCAAGCAGCAGAGACTCTGATGTCGAACTCTGTGAATAACACAATCTTTAACGTAACGGTCAATGGCTCAAACTATTACTTCCTTGGGGATGTCCTGAGCAGCAGGACGCTTGACTTCGCGGCGACGACGTTGGCGATCAAGACACAGTGTCAAATGGTGACGCCCAATTGCACTGTCACGTCCGTCAACGATGCCAGCTCCGGCTTCACTTGCGGCACTTACAATGCCCCATCCTTTTCGTACTCTGGAGAGGTTGGCATGGACCCTAAGAACGCGACATCGGCACCAGATGAGGCAATGGTTGGTATCCAATTCTTCAACGACACAGGATTGACTCAGCCAGTGGGTTTCGGAAGCGGCACTAGGAACCTATTCAGCATGCAGAATCCGCTTCAGTTCCTAACTTGGTCAAAGGGCTTTCCGCCGGTGGACACCTATCAAGACGAATTTGCCCAAATGCGCAACAACAGTTACCTCAAATACGACGCTACCGGCGACACCGTGTTCATCCTGAGCTGTTCAGCAATTATCTCGATGGTGAAATATAACTGGACCAACGGAACGGTGAGCCTGATTGAGCTTGAGGCAGACGAAAACGCGGCGGACTATTATGGTGCCGTCTTCAGCGCCCCGTTCGCCATCAACAGCCCGCTTTCCCACCTGGCCCTTCAAGACGCCGCAGCGTTGGCCGCTTACCAGAAAACGCCGGAGGGCCTGTCAAAGATCTTCGCCAACCGTTTCTCACAGGCGGCCGTTGCTCTTGGCTCGGGAATCGCCATCAGGGTCAAAAACGAGCAAGAGTGGACAAGAGACAACAATTATCTTGTAACGCGCGTTCCGTACCTCCCTCTTTATCTCTTGGTCACGCTCAAAGCCGTCTACGCCCTGTTCGCGCTGGGTCTTGCCCTGCTAGCGGTCTTCCTGACGCAGCCGTCGCAGGCTCAAGAGGTCAAAGAGCGGCTGACGGTCGACGGTCTCGCGGCGGGCTTCTTCGAGCCGCACGCCAACCACGAGCGGGCGGTCAAGAATGTCAGCGACCTGTTCGAGGAGCACCAGAGCCCCGAAAGGAGCGAGGACACCAAGAAGATCGGCCTGTTGCAGACCGAAAAAGGGGGCTGGCTCTGGGTCACCGTGGCGCAAAGAGCAGCCGTGGGACTGGGCATCCAGGAGGTAGCCAGCTTCGCCGCAGATCAGGCTGCCGACGCGGCCGCGAAGCAGACCGGGACGCTTGGTACCTTGGGGCAAGGATATAAATTGGTTAAGGACATTATTTAGGGAGGCAGCGGGCTAGGTCAGGCTGCACGTCCTTTTTTTTTCACCCGACTGTTTCCCGGGGGGAGGATCACAGAACTCCTTTTGATGCTGCGACGAGTAATATTTATAATGGGACTCTACGCGAGGTAATCATTTTGACCAATTCAAGCAAAGGCCAATTCCACTTTTCAAAGTACCAAGTAATCACTTCCCATCCTACCCTATCCCATCGAGAGTCAAATGACCCTCACACCACATGGCGCTGCAACACCGCGAGATGAATTCGCTTTTCAAGTCTTCTTCGCCTTCCCACGCCCACCTACTCCGATTCCCAGCAGAAACGCCGCCCTGAGGGCGCCCACGCCGGCGAGGATGGCCAGATTAGACCACTCCTTGGCGGTGACTAGCCCCCAGTCGAGGCGATGTTGGGTTTTCAGAGCGCCCACGACGGCGCCGATGATGGCCAGGTCCTGGATGAGGATGCTGCCCTGCAGACAGCGCCAGACGGTCAGGTCCGCCGGCCGGGCCCGCAGCATGACGACCTGCAAGAACATGGTCGAGACCAGGTAGCCGGCGGTGCTGTCGAGGAGCACGGTCGTCTCGATGGCTGGAGGGAGAGTGGCTGACGATGGGTTGTAGAGCGTCAGGATAGTGGTCGGGGCGAAGAGCTGCGTCAGTGCGCCGCTGAGGGCGATCAGGGGATCGATGGTGCTGAAGAAGACGCGGTAGAAAGTCGGGATTGTTGGCGACGCCATGGCTTCTCTTCTGCTGCCGCTGCTGGTGTTTGGGAAGGCAGTCTGGCTATTGTAGTACTAAGTAAATGCGTGGTTGACTTTCGCTCAGCGCTGTTCTCGGGACATACATTTATGGAGCGAGTCTGAGCGGTCCGTAGTCAACGGACTCTCTGAAGCTTGTGGTAGGGATGTAAGCGAACGACAAGTTACCTGACCAACGACGGCCTGTTCACTGAGACTGAGACGGAAGCGGTCAGAGCCTTGATCCTGGACGGAGGGGGTTGGATGCCTTGTGGCTTTTTGAATGATTGTCATCAGTATCCACCCCCGGCGTGTCCACCCAATTGCCCGATGTTGTCGGCATCATGTGTATGGACTTGCACAGTGCGCCTGGATCCTGGCGTGAGGCTAAAACAGTGGCTGACCAGCTGCCTATGCAAGCTGTGTGGTCCGAGCGGTAGGTTGACACCCGAGCAACGATATATTCATTATTGGCAGTGAGCGAGGAGTTTTACTCGTCTTCAAGCCTAGCTAAGGCATATAGAGATACCTTCGGATGAGCAGAGAGTTCTGTTAAGGACGTCAAATGGTTTCCATCGCAGCACTCCATGTCATGATAGACACAAGGCTCGTCTCACGGCCTGTGTGAGCTCAGCCCTAGGGTCAGACACTTGTCTCCTCTGACGCCATGCCACAAAATCATCTGGCCGCACAAGTATGGCGCCTCGAGACGAAATACCTGCAGCAGATTCGAGTCTACCTTTTGGGATGGTAAGATCACCTTCGGGACCAGCACAAAATGTGGCAATCTCAATGCCCATGGCAGAAGACATCCCCTTTGCTGCTTCCACCCACAACCTGCCGTCTGCTCCAGCAAGTAACAAGAAGTTCTTGCCACATAAATCGAGGGTTGAAACACGTTTGCCCTGATGCTCAACCCATAAATGAGGGATCCTGCTTCCAGGCCTCCCATCGATTGAAAGTGCCAGGCTGGGCAAAGTCCACGGTCTCCAGGTCAATCCTCCTAGCGGAGAAGTGTCCTCCGCGCAGATTGCCTTACTTGCATAACAATATCCGTGACCGGAAAGCAAATGAAACCCCTTGAACAGGACAACTGGTAAGGTGAACGATCCCTTTGTTGATATGATTCCATCCTCATCAGCCAGACCCGCAGAAAACTCAGCCGCCGCTCTCCCCACAGATATCCGCTCTATATCGTATGTCTCTAGCAAAGATTTGGTCGCATGGCCTTGCAAAACTGCAGCAAGCTTCCAGGCAAGGTTGTGGACGTCTGCGATACCTGTATTTGCCCCCTGGCCTCCCCATGGCGGCATCTGGTGTGCCGCGTCGCCTGCAAGGAAGATACGACCATGTTGCAGTCGCTCCGCAATTCGTACGGAGGGCTTCCAGGGAAGAATACTCATGACATCAATCTCAATGTCGGGGATCCCCAATGCGAGGCGCAACAGCTCTTTGCATTTTTCGGGTGGGAAGTCTGAAGGCTGTTCGCCTTTTGACGGATCATATAGAAGATGGAAGACCCAGCGATCGCTGTTATTGATTGAAGTGATTAGGCCAGTAACTTCGGGGCGTTCGACCTTACAGAGAGAAAATTCGCGCCCTTGGACAAGAGATGTGAGGTCGGCGTGGAAAAGGATGTTGAGCAAATGGCCCATTGTGCCCTTCCCCGTCGTTGGAACCCGAAGATGAGTGCGAATCGGACTCTCTGCTCCATCAGCAGCGATGAGATAATGCGCTCGAATAGTCGAGTGGGCCCCGGTCTTCCGATCCTTCAAAACAGCGGTGACACTATCTTCATCTTGGTGGACACCGACACATTCCGAATCGAATCTCACATCAACCCCTCGCCCTTGTGCAACGTCCACAAGAACTGGTTCGATCATATCTTGAGTGACAAACGTTCCGCCCACTGGGCCCAATGGCGCAAGAAATCCAGCCCAGGGAAGATTCCTAATGCCCCCTGAACGTGATTTGGGTTCAATGACATCCTTCAGAGAAGCCCCACTATAAATGCCCTTGCTGGGTGACAATGAAGCACCGGCTTCGCGGACAAGCTCCTCGATTTCAAGCCGACGATAGAGCTCCATAGTTCGTGCGTTGACGCTTCGCGCCCGGGGATGGATGGATGTTCCTTTGTGGCGCTCAACGACCATGGAATGTATGCCATGGTGAGAGAGAAAGTTGGAGGCAGAGAGGCCGACAATGCCACCGCCAATGATTATGACGGGGACATCTGCTTCAGAGGACATCTTGGGGTATGGAAGTGCAAAAAGGTCTAAATCTTATAGATGATCTCCTCTTTGTGTCGCAATGCCGTTGGCAATGGTAAAACCGACGCCTCGAGAGAACCACATCCTTATAAGGAGGCGACGCAAAGGACGGGAATGAGGTTTGATTGCCATGTAGACCGTAATTTGAAAGATATCAGGCCCCAGCGATAAAAAGGTGCATGGTTCGACTGTGACAACTTCAATTTGACTTTGCCACACTAGGGGCCGGAGGTTCGCCTCATCGGCCCCGAAATCATCTCCGCCTAGCTGGGCTGTGAACCTGCGCTTTTTTGGTTACACATTGTTTTGCTAGGGTTTACTTACTGACATTCTAAGCCTTCATTGGAAGCATTTCGAATGCTTTCTCGGTGCAGAATCTTATGGAATGAAGTTTGCGGCCTGTGTCTCTGGCTGCAGTACAGAATCTGGGTCAATGTACAGAACACCTGGGGATCATTGCATGGCTGACGAGGCTGCGAGGAAAGCAGCAGGTAACTATGCCTTGTCAAGAACCGAAGGGACAGCTAGCAATTTCATCTTGCCCCGCCGTGGGAACCAACTGATCCTATGGTCTTGCTGGGCCTTAAGAATATATGGAAGTTGATGCGGGCTAGGCGACTGAACGGCGAAAGAGCTTTGGCCTGACGAGGCGGTTTCCTGCAACTGCCCGCCGAGGAATTCAGCCGGGTAGGAAGTTGGTTGAGCAATCTCATTGCAGCAAGGGCGCCGCCGTTCTGGTCGTATCGGTCGGTCAAGGGGCCTAAAGGGCAGGACGTCGTCGCAAGCAGGACCGAACTTCATCGGAAGCGGTTGAGACAGGTATACGCCGACAAGAGAACGACGTCGCAATTCGACTTTTGGTAGCTATACAAGCAAAGTATGGCCTAGGGCATTGAACCAGTTTAACTCTGCGCATGATAGAGTCAATTGTAAACTGCGGATATTGGTAGTAAGCCGATCCGTTAATCGGCTAGAAATGGCCCTCATTATCCTTCATCGTCTGATCAAGTGATGCATGCTGTCCATCATAAGGAATGAGTTAAGACTCCATATCGGGACGAATCTTCAACTGATGAGCTCGCAGACGATGATGGCCGAAGGTAGTCAAACAATCAGGATGAGCTTCGAGGTGCTGCTTCAAGTTGATCTTTCCGTACGCCGCCTTCACAGCCTCCTCACATGTATCAACTGGACTTGGTAGCGGCATGATACAGATTTGGTCTGTGAGGTGCATAATAATCTGAAAGGCATGGCATTCGAGCTGCAACCAAGGAGATACATAGTTGATGGTGGTTGATAGATCATAGCATTGAAAGTGCGGAGACGAAGCTTTGCTCCACTGTATCGCGCCTTACCACAACAGGCAATAACCCGCCTTCGTTTTGTGGAGTAAATTCTGGCTGCAATGTCGGGCCACTTGAGCACCGTCTGCCCAAAAAAAAATTGGAACGGAGAATTCGACGTCTTCCCAGCTGCACAATTTCTCCCTCCACGGTCAGATAAAAGTGCGATATCCTTCAATATGGCGAAGAAGAGCAAGCTTCTGGCCGCTCTAGATGCCCACAGAGGACGAGACTACCAAGCAGAGAAAAGAAAAGCACAAGTGAAAGCCGCCGAGAAACGGAAAAGACAGAAACTGGAGGCGGCAAAACATGAAGACAATGAGCAGGAACTGACCAGTGGTGAAGAGGCTATAGCGGTCGGGGAGGCGAAACAAGACAAAGGGCAACCGCCTCATCAAGATGATTTTGCCCAGTTTGCTGAGGAGGATAGTAGAGCGGATAACGAAGCACACTCAGATGATCGGAACGGGGCGACCGTCAATGCATCCAACGGTGATTCCGCTCCCACAATCCCACAACCAGCTCAACCCATCGATGCCTCGGCCTCGGAAGCAGAGAATGAATCCGACGTGCCCGTCTCCGACCTCGAAAATTCTGATTTAGAAGACACGGTTCCTTACCAAAAGATGACCATCAATAACGGCCCTGCCCTACTCGCCTCTTGCAAGCGCATCTCTCTCATAAAAGCTCCCCAATCTACGCCGTTTCATTACCACAACTCCTTGGTCTCAGATCTTCCTCCCACCTCACAATCCGTCCCCGACCCCAACGACGACCTCACGCGCGAACTAGAATTCTACCGCATTGCCCGCACGGCAGTTATCGCTGCACGAGACCTCCTTCTCTCTGAGAAAGTCGCCTTCTCCCGTCCGGCGGACTATTTCGCAGAGATGGTGAAGAGTGATGAACACATGGGCCGCGTCAAGCAGAAGATGTACGACGAAGCCGCGAACAAGAAAGCAGCAGAGGAGGCGCGCAAGTTGAGGGATGCGAAGAAGTTCGGGAAGGCGGTCCAGGTTGCAAAAGAACAGGAGAGGGCGAGGGAGAAAAGAAACACGTTGGAGAAGATCAAGGAGTTGAAGAGAAGTAAGTCTATCCCATTCCACTGGATGCAGCTGGGTTGTTTGTGCTGTTAACACATTTCTGTTCCGTAGAACGTAAGGGCGCCGACACCGGCAAAGTGACCGAAGGCAATCTAGACGACGACCTCTTCCAGAGCATCGACGTCGAAAAGCCGGCTACGAAAGATCGGGCAGGCCGTGATCGGGGCCTCGGGAGCGGACCCAATCCAAAGAGACAGAAGCGCGATCAGAAATATGGATTTGGTGGTAAGAAACGGCACGCAAAGAGCGGTGACGCGATCAGCAGCGGAGATATGCGTGGGTTTTCGACAGCTAGGATGAAAGGCAAGGGAGGGAAGGTGAAAGCAAAGAGGCTAGGAAAGAGCAAGAGGATGGCTGCCCGGTGAAGGCTTGACGTGCGACGACATGGGGGGAAAAATCACCAGAGGGAAAAAACTATTAAACTTGGTCGCATTCTCTAAGAGAAACAAGGCTATATCAAAGCACAAGGGGTATCACAGTCACGCACGCACAGACAAAATGCAAGACCCCTAACCCACGGATCCGAAACGCCTTCACCAGACGCTTGCCACGAAAGCTCCAGTTATGCTGCTCAAACAACCCATTGGCCCAGAAATTCTTTCAGATGACCCGTCTGATGTTGCCGACCAACTCGCTTCGCCTCCTGAGCAACCAAATCGAGCATTTCTTGCGCTTCTGGTCCAGGCGGGAGCTCCGGCAACGCGTCAGGATCCGGATGGCCATTGAGTTGTCGACTGGGACTATCTTCGCGACTGTGCCCCGAATCAACCGTGGCTTCCCTCATCCTACTGGGCGGCAAAGGACCAGCTTGCCGTCGAGCTACTAGTGATGAGACGGGAATATCACTCATATCTTCGTCCTCATCGTCCACGACCCCTCTTGCGCGCTTGTGTGATTTGCCAGCCCCACTAGGACGAAGCACAGACTTCATTCGGTGCCGCTGAGGTTTTCCTTCGCCGGGTTTGCGAGGTGTCTTCATGGTCTCATCCGCTACCACATCGGCGAGTGTGGCTTCCAACTCATCGTATATTCTCCGAGTAGACCAATTGAATTTCTTCCGGAGTTTTGCTTCGTTCATTAGCTTCAGTAAGGGTTCTGCTGAGCGCTCAAAGGCAGCCACTGCATCTTCATGCGATCCCTCGAATGAAGGCAATTTTTGTAGCTCCGTAGCAGCTTCATCAATTCCACAGTGTCTCATGTTGAAGTTGACGGACTTTCGAAGGATATTCAGCATATCCCATATAGGTTTAGTCCAGTCAATGGGCTCCGGCTTGGTTTCGGTCGCACTGCTAGAGGCAGCCTCGGAATTACCTTCTGATTCGTCTCCCTCGGATCCTTCTGACGTGCCCTCTCTTTCCTGGTGCGGCCCTTCGTCTGCTTCTTTATCATCATCATCTTCTTCCTTCTCCTCCTCCCCCCCCTCCTCCTCTGATGAATCGGACGCCTCTGGGAGACTAGTTTGATTGACTCTTGCCAAAGCTGCTTTCAACTCCTCCAGTTCGAGGGCGTACGTCTCGGCTAAATGTTTCCAGAGATATGTCTGGGACCACTCGATCCCCTCTCGCTCTTCCACCATCTGCTTCAGAAGAAAGCGGTGATGTTTATGGATCGTCTCCATGGCCTCATCATCATCGTTTATTCTATAACCCGTGTGCTTCTGATATTCGGTGAGAAATGGGTCGATCATGAACCCAAACCTCTGACGTTTCTGTACAAGCTTCTGGTGCTGATCGACCATGAAATAGAATAAATCAATAGCCTCCAATGTGTCGTTATAGTAACTCAGATAGCGATCTGAGGGTGAAATCTCGTACCAGCCTGCCTTCCCTGCAGCCCAGATGACAGGCTTCCCATTGTCGTCTTGACCAAAGCTGTAATTCGTAACGTTGTCGATCTTTATTCGTGCATAGAGTGGTTCCTCTATCAAGGCTAGTCGGTATCGTCAGCATATCCTGGGAGTGAGGAGTCGCATTTCCCATACCAAGGTGTTCCTGGTCGTCGTCCAGGGGCATCAATTCTCCTACCACACACAGTGGTGTCTCTTCCGAGGCCTGCAACAGGTCTGCATATCGGCCCTTTCCTTGGTAGAAGATTTTTGCTTCTCGCAATGCAAAATCTGGCCAGTCATTGACATCTTCGGGGACGGGATCGAGGGGTTTTAGAACTCGTTCTTCCGGTAGGGTGGACATGTCCAAACGTGGGGTGTGAGGTTCATGCTGTGGATGAGGTGTTGCGCTATAGGGCTGGCAAGGCACAGGGTCTAGCCGTCATCTCGCAGTTGATCGTCACTGGATGGATCAGACAGGATTGATGGTGTTCTTTAACCGTGGGAGGGAAGGTAGAGAGGGGTACCAGAAACGAGCGACGCGCATGATGGTGAGCAGAGAGAAGGAGGCTGGAGGCTGCAGGATTGTATTCGTAGTGGGAGGGCCCTGGGCTAGAGAGGGACTTCAGGGCTCTGATTGGCTGGGTCAGGATTTAGCTCTTGGGCTCACGTGGGGCGCCACTAACTGTCTCGCTGTTTGATGAACCTTCCGAAAGCCATTCTCGAAGGCTAGGGGGGCTGCGATTTGTTTCAGTGCTTGCCGGAAAACATCACTCTGTTTATTGGCAATATATGGGCGGTGCTTCAGTCTGACACTCTTTCTCTATTGCATGAGGCCATCTTTCATCCTCAAGATGGCCCAGCCATCAGGAAAGATCCTCGAGGGTGTCTTTGGTGAGGCCAATTCCTCTCCCAAGACTCTTGTTTCTCTCGCATCCATGCCCTAACTGGTCTCCATGTTTATTAGCCATCAGCAAGCCTCCCAGCATCTCTTCCGCTCAAGTCCTTCGAGATCTGCAGCACAAATTTGCGGACTCCAAGACGTTTGCGCCCTTACTTGACCGGACGAGAAAAGCCCAGGAAGACCAAGAGCGGCATCAACCAAAGCGCCGCAAAAAGAGCAATGACCAGATATTCAAAATGGGCCATGGAGGCACGCTGGACCCACTGGCAACAGGTGTCTTGATTGTTGGAATTGGTAGAGGGTCCAAGTCACTCTCTGACTTCCTTGCCTGCAAGAAGACCTATGAGACGGTTGTTTTATTTGGGAAAAGCACCGACACATACGATGTGATGGGGAAAGTAGTGGCAGACGCTTCAACCGAAGGTATTACTCAGAAGCTTGTCGAAGATAGATTAGCACAGTTTCGGGGCAAGATGAAGCAAATCCCGCCGATCTACAGCGCAATCAAGATTGATGGCATGAAGCTGTACGAATATGCTCGAAGCGGCAGGGAGTTACCCAGAGAGTTAGAAAGTCGAGATATTGAGATCTCCGACTGCACACTGCTTGAATTCTATGGCCCTGGAGAGCATGACTTCAGGTGGCCAGCAGAGCAAGCGAGCGACGAAGAGAAAGCTGTGGCTAGAAAGCTGATGCCCGGTTCTGAGACCACCAAGAAGTTCATGGGGCAAGAAGCGGCAGCCACCAGTCCCAAAAGTCCTCTTCACGAGAGGTTCCGAGAACAGCGCGAAAGCAACCACCTTCCCCCTGCCAAAAAGGCCGAATTGCATACCCACTATCTCCCGACACAGGAGGCTCAAGCTGCCAATGCCCCGGCGGCCCGAATACGCCTGACTGTGAGTAGTGGTTTCTACGTGCGTTCATTTGCACATGATCTAGGTGTTGCTTGCGGCTCCTATGGGACGATGGCTGCCTTGGTTCGAAGTAAACAAGGCGACTACACCAATATCGACCCTACTCCACAGGGCCTCGTTCCTGCACTCACATACGACGATCTGGAAGCCGGGGAGGATATATGGGGTCCGAAAATCGCTGACGTGCTAAATAAATGGATGAATTCTCATCCCGCCGATTCCAACGAGAATAGAGCTGACAATCGAGATCGACCAGATAGAGATCATCGACACAAGAGGTTCAAGAGAAGTGAGTGGAGGGAAAGCGGCTCGAAGAGGACTTGGACCAGTCAGAGAAGTTGGGAAGATTCAAATCGATCCCGGCGGCGCAACAGCTCGTCGCCTGATACTTGACCTGCTGTTCTGGACAGAGTCAAAGCCAATAGGACTGTCTGTTAGGGTGATAGCCTCGACAGCACGGGGGGAGCCCATATGCAAAACAAATGGCGTGGTCAGACGTCAGACAAGACGATCTCGGTAGCAAACACGAAGTCCTTTTGCTTTTGGATCCAAGGTGGCCTTCATGAACAAATGGTATTAAGTTGACCTTGGAGATGGGGTGCTCTATGCTTTATCGATATAATCAGCTATATTTGACACAGCGGCCATGTCGTTATAGCGGAGGACTCTTTTGCACTCGGCTCGGGGGGATTTGAACTGGATGTTGGCGATATGGTGGCCAAAGTGAGCTCTACCTGGATTGATTGAATGAGAATATTTGCACCCATCTCCAGAAGCAACCAGTTGGATTAATTAATTACTCGAGACACACTCTGTTATATCCTAGTTGGGAACTCCCTGGCGGGCTCTCCGCCCCTAAATGGCACTAATTACGTAGGCCAAGGCCCCCCCAGAGGTCTGCCGATCTAGTCCCTTTTTGCCTGGCCCAGGCGATCAAGCAGAGCGGAAAAAACTCATGCAGGTACGAAGTGCGCCTCACCCTCACCAAGCCTCACCTCGCATTCTTTGCAGGTTCTCTTACCTAGTCTACCCACTCCCCCAGTCGTGTGCCTGTAATCTTCTCCCTTTCATTACTTCCTGGTGCCGTCGCACACCTGCTCTGCATATGTTATGTCGACATAATCTCGTCCACGCTCCTTTGCTGACGTTTATTCTGACACGTTTGTCTCAGCCAACTGTCGTCATTCAACATGGGGTCCCTGCCTGCCGAGTCTCGACCCTTGTCGTTCGCTGCTCTGAAGGCCAGAAAAGCCCCTCTCAAGATTGCCACCAAAGTCGTCACTGTAAATTCAACCGCGAAGCCGACCGCAAAACCTCAACCTGTACCATCTATCTCTTCCTCCAAGCCTGCGGCCTCCCAGAAACCGCTCAGCAACGGACATTCCCGTACCACGAGTACGCCTCGGAAGTCGAGCACTCCAGTTTCGGTCCATTCAAGGCAAGGCAGTGGAGAGCCGATAGAGCGGATAAAGAAGGAGAGACAAATTAGGACAAAGCGAGCGTCTCCAGCTGTGTCAACGCCAAGATTGACCAGCTCTGATGAAGAGAGCGAAGAGGATGACGACAACCCTAGAAAGCGAATCCGCCTCGATCGCAAAGAGAGTATAGACGAGAAGCGCAAAGTTAGGGATCAAAAAGCATTCTCTCAAGAAGATGGCAATGGCTTTCACATGGTGCACGCATTCGATATCGCGAATACCACCCTCGTGGAACATGGTCGAGACAAGTACGAAGCATTCTTCACAGCCCTGGAGGGAGACGAAGATGAATGCCCCGCGATTGAACTGCAGTACCCGACTTCTCTGCAGAGCGAGAAATACCAGTTGGTCAAGCCTGCAGACTCTTCCGATTTCAAACCGCTTGATGAAATCGAGGCAACCATGAAGATTGTGGCGGAATACTATCTCGATAGCGAATCCGCAGAGAAAGTCACCAGTGACGATGGCTCGGGCCTGGTACAACAATTACACCGGCAAGCCTTGCTTGGGATGAGAGGACGAGTTGGAGCCCAGTCAAAATACATCCACGTGGTGGAGAAATTCAACACGTTGGTGGCCGACAAGCGCAGGGACGGAACAATCGCAAAGAAATTGGATCAGATGCGCCGCGTCGATCTTAGGCTAGTGGAGCACATCATCAAAAATCAAATCTACGCTCGGACAGTGTCGCCTCAAGTCAACCTGGTGAGACATTACGAAAGCTTTTCGGACAATGTCTACGGCGAACTATTACCCAAGTTTCTCAGCCGCATATTCAAGGAGACAAATCTCAAGTCTGATCAGGTATTTATAGATCTCGGATCGGGTGTTGGTAATTGTGTGCTTCAAGCCGCCTTGGAAACCGGAGCCGAATCATGGGGCTGTGAAGTCATGGACAATCCCAACACTTTGGCTCAGCTCCAGGCTGACGAGTTCCCAGCTCGATGCCGCCTCTGGGGAATCAAACCTGGTGAAGTCCATCTCATTCACGGCAATTTCCTGACCAACGAACAAGTCCGCCAAGTCCTCAAGCGAGCGGACGTCATTCTGGTCAACAATCAAGCCTTCACGGCCGAGTTGAATGACAAGCTCAAATACGTTTTCCTCGATTTAAAGGAAGGATGCCACATCGTCAGCCTAAAACCCTTCCGGTCTCCAACGCACAAGATCAAGGATTCAAACGTGAATGATCCTGTCAATGTGTTGACAGTCGTGGAGAAGGAGAGGTGGAGCTCTATGGTCAGCTGGACCGATGATCCGGGGAATTGGTACCATCACCGCAAAGATTCCAGGGAGTTGAACGCCTTTGTGGAGAGTATGGGAGGGTTTGAAAACTGCTAGAGGCGAACTATTCCCCGGAGACTCAGACGGGCTATTGCTTGGTGGAGGTGCATGAATCGGCATTGGGACGGTCTTTCGCTTTATTTGGGTTGAAATGACTTGACGACACTGTGCATAGCGTCGGGTTATTGACAGCCAATGCTTCGGGCAATCTTGGGATGAAATGACGATACTCCTAGATGTGATTCATAAGGGCCAGGTGCCATTGTATATCTTGGAATCAATGAAACTCTCGCTCAATGAGTCTACTCTTCTGATCATCGCGCTGTTTGTCATCTACAAGTTAGTGACTCGGATTTAACTGGGAAAGACGTTAAAGGAAAGATGTCTTGATGTGACCTACCCTTTAGTAGGCTCTTTGTGGATCTTCTGGACAGTCCAGGGTCGAGGTTGATCTTGGTCTTGCTCTTTGCCCAATTTGTGGCTTCAACACCACCAGTCTTCGAGATCTGAGTCTTGTCGGACGCAGCAGGCCAGTCGAAAGGGAGGGGCGGCAAGAGGGTGCTCTCACGCTGCTCGTATCCTTGAGGGCCGTGCTGACGATGCTATGCAGTCTTCTCCGCCTCTCGCCTGAGCACCAAAGCTAAGCCAGAGCGAATAGGGAAAGGAGAATCTCATCTCATCCAAACCTCCCCTCTTCATTCATCTTATCGGCCTCCCTGCCCTTGCTCGTCATCCATCGATCGACGAGGTCCTCATTGTCCTTCTTCAACTTCTGCGACTTCTC